CTCGTAAATCACGCATGAGAGAGGAATCCCGACCCTGCTGATTTTTTTCACTGCGGGTTACCATCTCTGGAATTACGAAGGTTTCAAGTATACGTCACAATCATGTCGCGTGAGGCGTAATTAATCTAGGTTCGAGGAATGCATATCCAAGTAAAAAGCGTTAGCACAGACAATAACTACTTGACGTATTGGCTAAAACGACTTACCCTAAGGTTATTTTTCAGGGGCGAAAATATTTCAAAGATGTTCGCCTCACTTCACTGTAGCACCCTTTTCTACACTTTGCAACCGCACCATATTTTACAAAGAGTCTATTACACGAAAAAATGGGTGCTGAAAGTGTGTAGCCACGGGTGTAAGTCTTGGGAACAGCCTTTGGTTTGAAGTTTCTAGGTGTGTAAGTTGATGGAAAGTTAGCATTTGGGCCAGTGCATGTTCTCAACCATCGATGTTTCGCGGACCCTTTCTGGATCGGCGGAGTTGGTGTAGGACCTCGTTCATGGTGAAATGAAAGGAAAGGTATAGGTTAATTATGATAATGATTTAATAAATGGATAAATCTAAAGGCTAGTGTGAATTAGACTTCTCTCATTGACATACACAAAAGAAAGCTCACCCAAAAATCGGAACGTTTCCTTTCACTCTGAAAAGAAACAAAAGATTTATTGCCCAGCTTCACTGATAAGGCTCGGCTTCGCGGACCTCCATTTGAGAACCACTGATTTAGGGCATTAGCCTGCCATAAACGCCGATATGCTTTCACACAGTGTCGCGAAGTGTACAAATGCTCAAAGAACTGGTTGCGGTTGTTTCTTTTCTTCTTTTCTTGCTACTGAAAGGCTGTCATCGAAGCTGTCATCGTGTAGTGAAATATAGTAATGCGGTACACCGACTTGAGCGGTAAAATGTGGCGTTCGGAGCTAAGCAATTGAAGTGAAGTGCGAGAAAGCGGCAAATCTCTCCCTTCATCAAAAATGCCTCCTCAGTGTTTGCTCCATAAGGCTTAGCCTGACGGATCTTTTTTGGCCTGAGGTCGATGCCTCGATCCAATAAAAACAAACTAATTTAATTGTCTGACATCGGGTACAGAATTGTCAACGTAGTTAGGGAGCCATTCCATCTGCTTCTCTTCATCGTAGTGCACAGCTCGTGATCAAGCGGCTGTGGTCGTCGTAGCTCCAATGCGTTGGTCGCGTGCTTGCTACCTTTTTTCTGTGTCCTCGTGAGCTCTGTATAGAGACTATTCACTGGCGGCCATAGCTGTGTGCGCGAATGCTGAGCGCGTGCTGATGGCGAGCTTCCACAGTTCTTTTGGAACGTGCATTCCGCACCATCAAGAGTGCCGGTCTTAGCAGCCTATTGATGTGAGCTCGTTCTGAGCATGCGCTCTAAACAGCACCCACAAATATGGCTTCCAGTGAATACTCCCTATAGTTCCAATATAGCCCTCTAAGCCAACCAGCAGATCTAATCCAGCGCCATCTAGTTTTAATGCTTATTACTTGCCCCAAACATCCAGTGATTGGAGTCGCCTTCCGCAGACATAGTCAGACTGTCGTAAGATTGCACTTACTAATCTGTTAAATGACGTTTCATTGTAATTTTTTGCCTTATCATTGTCTTTGCTTTTATATATGTTGTATAGTGTCCCACGCCTCCCTACAATGCCTTCGGCGCCAAAAGAAAAGATTAATCAAATTAAATGTCGTGCACGTACTACCTGTGTCTCACTCTGCACACCCCAAAAAAAAAGTGTGCCATCTTTACTTTTTGATTGAGTTAATTATTGAGTGGTGATTTATTCACTAGTTGACTAAGTATTCGGTGATTTGGTTCAATATAAGACTGGGCGATTTATCCATTGAACTTTTCACTACATACTGCAGGCCACTGCCGTTCGGTAATGTCATGACGTCTTGATCTTTCCGTGTCACAAGAGTAAAAGAAAGAGCAAACCTCCTTAAAGGGGCGGTGCAACGATATTCAATTGGAATGTTTTACACTTTACACGAACTTACTGGCACACCTAGGACTCAAGGATACTCACACGCAACGCCACTGGCAAAGAAACTCCTTTGTTGCGGTGTAATTTCAAGGACAAAAGCGGTCATTTTCATTCAATTACTCCTTTGCAAAATTTGATGACGTAACGTGGGGATCGTAGTGCACCCCAATGACGATATTTGAATGCGGTTCATAGATTGTACCCGAGCATTGCGGGCACTCGATTTGCGCTCGTGATAATTACTACCTCGAGAAGCATTCGGGTAGTGGCCCGTGTCCAATCGCTGCAACAAAGACAGTAGCCGAGCCATGCATAACAATGTCTGGAACTCAGCGCGTGTCCTACGCTTTGCCAACCCCACCAAGTGGCTGTGATCAACATTGGCGGCATATAAGCGGCTCCAGATCACGTGGCCGCTTCTTCTGGCTGCGAGTTCAGGGGGTGAACGCTGCTCGTTTTTCTTTAATTTCTTTTCTGGGACTTCTACTGCGTGGGTCGAAAAACGAACACGTGTTTTATGGGTCATTGACGTCAAGGATCCCTTCTCAACGGTATTTTCGCAAAGTGCAAAAATCGTTGCATCACCCCTTTAAATAAATTTTCTTCCAAATCACAGTTCACCATTTATGATAGCGAGGCTTTCGTACAAAAAAAAATAATATAAAGCCAACGCCGGGGCAAGCTGGTACTATGGTGCCGAAAAGAAAATGCAATGCCGAAAATCTTTTGAATTTAAAAAAGATAATCGCAACGACGACACTGATATAGTTTTTTAAAACCTTCCAGAGCAGTGGAATCTATTGGTAAAAACCAGTGCTTGACATTAAGGCGAAGTTGAGGGGGATCGTTGGCCGAATGGACTAGCGCACACAAGCTCGGAGCACGTGGAGCGAAAGCTCGCGCTGCACAACCCAGGGTCCTGGGTTCAATCCCCACCCCTGCCCGTTTCGATCTGGATGAGCATCGTAGCGGCGTGCGGTCGTGTATCACTACCGCGGGGTGCACGTTAAAGACCCCAGGCTAGGGGTTGTACTGCACTGGCTAAATTGCTCATCTACAGTTGAAACATCAGACGCCAATTAGGGCTAACTTCCGGCTGTATAAACATACACACAACACAATTACCAAGGCGAAGTCATTGGGTGGACTGTGCAACCAAGCGCGGCGTATGGCATTGCGCAAAAGTTTTCTTCTGCGCATTGTCGGAACGTGATCAACAGACCAATGAACAAGACGGCAGTAGCAAGGGCCACGCTATCTGCTTCTAAAAAAGAATTCTAATTAGTACATGAGATTGACAATGCTTAACTTCCAAGGTATCAAAAACACACATGTAGTCGGTGACAGGCTAGAATCCCAATAGATGAGCCTCCTCGAGGACTAGCTTTCTGCACTTGCTAGTCCTTCGTCGCACGCGTAGCCAAAACCCGGAGGAATGCAGCAAGCGTGTGCTAGAAGTGGAGATTTCACTGAATTTTAAGAGGTGTCCAAACCAAAAACGGAAAACGGAGAGCGTGCACTTTTCCTGCCGAAAAAACGGGAAGCAAGAACGCTACGTTCCGTTTTCTCGTTTTCTGGACATGATTTTTCTCGGAGCAAGATGGAGACATCGGGGAGAGAAGGTGCGCGTGACGTGGAGTCAGTCAGAAAGATGCCACCCGTGACCGACCAGTAAGAATGTCTCTGTCCACCGGCTCCTCCGCGTACGTCGCCTCTCTTGGCCTCTTTCTTCCTTCATCCGGTTCGAAGTTCCTGTTTGCTGCTCCGCGCCTGCTTTGCTTCATTCCTCCTGCGCCTGCATCACTTCTCGAGATGGCATCCTCTGCGGTTGAGAAGGCGGCCAATGACGTTCGAGCAGGATTAACACAGCCAAAGACTTTACTTTCTCTCCACTTGTCGTCCCTGTGATTCGCTGCGCCCAGTGGTTTCGTCACCCACACATCCCAAGGCCCCACGCGAGTGCCTCCCCGTCAAAAAACGGGACGAAGCGGAACGCGTCGAGAAAACTTTCCGCTAAAAGTGCACGCTACCACTTTCCGTTTTTCGCTTGGAGAATTCTTTAGCCTCTCACCGACAATGGTCACTTCGATGACCAAATGTATTTACATAAAAAAACGAGACTCAATATATAGTCGACCGTAATCGTCGAAAATTGTTTCGTTAATCCCGATCGCCTCAACCTCGGCGAATAAGCCAACGCTAGTAACACTTCCTCAGCACCAGCTCGCACAATTAGAAAATTAGAACGACGTGCACCACCCATTATTGGCATCCGCTTTCGCCTTTCCCAAATCCCTTTCTTTTTACCAACTTTCCCCAATCAAGGCCACGACCAAAAGTAGGCGCTCTCTTCTCCACAGATCCCCTCCCACGCAGCTCGGAAGCTCCAGCTGTGCTCCCTGTACCGCTAGGCTGACAGCGCTGTGAAATCTAGGCGCTCGTTGCACCAGTCGTACCCCATGATTTCGCTCTCGTAGACGCGCAGAAAGACCGGGTCAGGCGACGAAAGGCAGGCGGTTGATTGGTCCAACGAGCTCGTACCTTCCACCGCGCACTCAGCCGAAGAGCGAACGGAGCATAGGAAGTGCGTACAACGCCGCCAGCGTCTAACCACCGGCGCGAACGAGTCGGCGGCGCAGCGACAACGCGCGAAATCGAAACCAAACCACCAGAGCCTTCATCTCCATCCTCCTCTCTCAATTAGTTCCCTTCCTCCTTCTGCGAGCCTAACGGGAACCCCCTCTCTCCCACCACGTCCCGCTAAGCCTAACCCAACCCTAACGGAGTGAACGGAAAGCGTCCCCCTCTCCCTCGAAAAAACAAAAAAAAAACACAAGCAACCGTGTCGCCATCGCTCTTCCCACGGTCCTGAGCGCTCTGGTAGCTCCGCCTCCCCGCCGCGCTGCGGGGTCGCGTGGGAAAGCGGCGTTCGGTGGGTCGCTCGCGCGCGCGTGTCGGCTTGTGCCGGTCGGCCAGTCGCCGAGCTGCACGCGCCATGAGACGCACGGTCGCCGCCGCTATGATGGACTCCGAGTACGACGACGACGACGACGACGACGCATCGTCCCGAGGGTGAGAGAGGGGGGGAGAGGGTAGCGGGAAAAGCGGCGGCCGGGGGTGAGGGTGCGGCGCCGCCGGCCGTCCGAGGCTCGGAGCGACGGTCGGCCACGTGCCCGGCCCCCGCCTTCATTTCGGAAGCCCGCACGCGACCGAGCGGACGTGTGGCGGACGTTCGCGGACCCGGGCGATCGTCGTCATGTTTTCGTTCGGCCATTCCAGGACGAGTTCGAGCTCCGGGAGCTGCCAGCTGCTGACCAGGAAGAAGCGGAGAGGCGTGAGTAGGCCGCTTCCTCCTTGAGCGCGTGGCTGCAGCCGTCCGCCGAGCTTAGCGTTAATTGGAGGCGCCTGACTTCGGGGGATGGAGTCGATGGACGGCCCCCGGTGCTGCTCTGGTGTCATCGGGAGTGACCCTTCGGAGTCGAACGGAAGATTGCTTCCTGTCTGGATCATCGTTTCGACTCCCTTTCTGCGAGATTTGTCGCAGATTGGGACTTGGAGGTTTCCAGCATGGAGCATCCACTGATAGCCTTATTTGGCCGTTACTTTGGGGTAATTGATGCCGACTTTGCCATTTTTTTTTCTAGTTTTGTTTTACTTGAGGCTCGCACTATTTGTTTATATTTGAAAGATTTCTCAATTAGCCGCCTCGTTAAAACTTAACTTATGCGTGCGTTTCTCACTTTCTCGTATTATCTTCTGCAAATGTTCTCTTAACATATCTCATTAATCCCTCCTTTGCCATTTTCCTAACCGATTTTTCTTGCCGTTCTCTCCATTTCACATTCACAATAATTTAAATGTGGCTATCAATTTCCAGACTAATCACTTTTTCTCCAACTTGCCGAGCACCGCCTTCATTATTTCGAAGATATCGAATGTAACGAGTGCATCTCCGGTTTACGAAAGGCCGGAACTTTAACGAAGATTCGACAGCTGTGCGCGCTAACCATGAAATTTTCTTGTATGGCACTTTTTTGCGCATCCTTCCCGGCCCACTAACGCTCGAGACGCGGACGCGGCAAATTACATTCGGAAGATGAACAAATGAAATCGAAATTGAGAACACGATCTTCATTCCTTTTTCTACAATTTCTTCCTCAGATAATCGAGAAGCGGCGACGGGATCGCATCAACAACTCCCTCACGGAACTTCGACGCCTCGTTCCTACAGCATTCGAGAAGCAGGTAGGGTCAACTCCTATTTGTGTATCTGTGTTTTTGTGCGTGTTCGTCAGTTACTGCCGCTAATACTAATCTTCCCTGAAAATTGCGTCGCTTCTATGTTTAGACAGCCTCGAAACGTGGGACCATGTCTCTCAGCTGTAGATGAGAAATTCAGCCAGTGTAGTACCACCGCTAACCTGATGGTCTTCAACGTGCACCACGCAGTAGTGATCACACGAGCACGTGCCGGTACGGAACTGATCCAGACCGAAACGGGCAAGGGGTGAGGATCGAACCCAGGAGGTTCTGCAGCCCATGCTTTCACCCTGCGCTTCGAGCTCAGACGCTTTAGGCCACTTTGCCACCGATCGGAGAAAGGCCCCCAAACGAATAAGGCGGCTTCATCGCAATCCTCAGTTACAATGCATAATCAACCGCGCAAAGAAAGAAGCAGTTCTACCATTGGCTTCTCAATCTACATTCGTACAAAACTCCAATCTCACATGATGCGGCGGCAACTTTTGAAGATGTCCGCAACGCTGCATCTTTAGGCTCGTGCGTAATGATTTTCGTTCATCCGGGAAACTTGTCGTTGCCGGACGTACAAAGCCAGTGCGGCCGCTCGTATACACCACGCCGGAAGAGTCGTTCGACCAAGGCGACGAAAGCGAGGATCCTGATGTCCCTGTTTCTACGCTCACAGGGATCGGCCAAGCTCGAGAAGGCGGAAATCCTCCAGATGACGGTCGACCACCTGAAGATGCTCCACTCCAAGGGTAAGTCCGAGCTTGCTGCTCAAACCATACGCTGGCTTAGCACAGTTTTCACCTCAGGGAGAGACCGTTCTAACCTAAACAAAGTATAGCGAGCTCCACGTCGACAGATCTCTGCCGATTGCGTAACTTCATTTCGAAGTTACATCTCAAGGACGTGAACGCCACCTTCGTTCGATGTGCCGTACTATGATGAGCTATGTATGTACGTCGCTTCTGACACTGGGCCGATATCGGGTTAAGGCGCGTTCACACTCTTGCAACCGAGTACGACCGAGAAAGACTTCTTGGGACCGGATGCACTGAGCGGAGCTGGTCCTAAGAGATCGCAAGAGGCTTAAAAACCGGTTTGGTCTCTCTCGGTCGCACTCGGTTGCAAGAGTGTGAACGGGCCTTTAGTCCACCCTAAAGTCACTGGATCGTGGGAAGGTAGCACCAAGGTCCCCGTATGGTCGCCAGTTTTGTTCATGAAAGGAGCAGTTTCTTTATTGACCTCTCCATTCTCGGTGGGCCCATCCGAATTCCCGGTGACATTGCCTTATAAATACTTTTTTTTTTATTACCGAGATTTTGCTATTTAAACACCGACGAAAAAAACGCGCATCTTCGCATAGCCATCGGATGCGGCATCGGTGCTTGCCGGCATTTAAAAATAGTTTTCCTGTCTCGAGATACGCAGGAATAACCATGCCATTGTAAAATATCTAGGGAGATAAGCATGATCGACAAGTTGATTGCATGCACAGTGCCAAAGACGCTTATATTGGCTTGAAACGCTTTCAGTGCGATGAATCTTTACAGCGACCTTGATGCGACTTTCGAAGCTTCAAAGATTTGAATATAGTTAAATGTCGATTGCCATGGCAACCGGGACCGGAGAGCCAAACACATGGCGAGGTTAGGTCGTCTCTATGTTAGTGTATGTTTGTGTCCGGCTAGCAGGCAGGGAAGGCAATGACGCTACTTTCCGAGGACCCAATGACTTTAGTCTATCCGGATGGGCAGCGTGAGATGGAAACTTACAAACGTGGTGTCCGTATAATGGCGCAGCCCAACTCGAAGGCATATAGATGCTTTACAGCAGCTGTGCATGGGCGCGGCCATAACCGACCTTCAGTTTTTGTTTCCTCTTATTTTTATCACTTGCCTCCATCACTACCACAGCAGGGGCAGGTTATTGCCATTTCAGATTCGACTGTGTCCTTCTCGCCAGCGTTTGCTTTTTTGGAGGCTCGCCAAAGCCCTTTTTAGTGGCATGATATCTCGGTATGACAGGAGAAGGTCGGCAATGGCGGCTGTAATTTGGCGTGTGTGTAAAGCGTCTATATTTGTTCCACCGAAAAACGAAATCAGCTTCCTGGCGTCCCGGTAAATATTCCGCCGCAGGGAGTTTTCCGGACACGTCCTTTTCTGGTCGGCTAGTGGCAGGCAATTGTAGAAAAAGTTTCCTGTAGATATATAATACTAACAAATTTATCGGTAAATAAGAATACGGGGATTTCCCTCGCTGCGAAACAACTAAGACAGGAGAACGCTCGCTTCCTGCGTGCGGACAATGGTGTAGTTACGGAGATCATGTACTGTAGCACACTGTTTGTGTTTATGCGCATTTTTTGCTAGAATCTACGTTGCAAATAACAATGCATATTTGTCAACTCTGGAAGCAGAATTTGTTGCCTGTCCCTGACACACTGTATTGAGGAAGCGTAGATACGAGCTTAAAAACGTAGCCTGTAAGTTAAATAATTCTTCGTCCGACCGTCAATAATAGCGCCTTCAGTGTTGAACAAACGCTGCTCAAGGTCGCGCTCCCAGCCCTCTGAAGTGCCCGCGCAGGCAAGTGAAGCGCAGTGCTAAATCAACACTGCAATTAGCGCCAAATGTTAGTCACGATTTACAACCGTATTTTATACATTCTCACCACTGAGATTTCTTCCTCACCAGTCGGATACCGCGAGGCACGTCACAGCAGTGAGATCGATTTCGTGAGATCCGATGTATGCTTGCGAAAGAAGCGTCTCTTGGCGCCGAATCTTGTTTCGTCTGCTAGCTGTCCCACTACGATAACTTCGCTCTGAGAAAGACAAGAGTTAAGCCTCGTTCACGCCGCTGCGTTCGAGTGCGACCGCAACCACTTGCGAGATTTTTTTTTTTTTTTTTAAAGACCTACATTGGACTTTTTTTTTCGTTTCTTTTTTTCTAACACGATAAAAAAATATTAATTCTCGCGATATTTACGTTGTTAGACGCAGTTTAGGTGGGGGTCACGGCCTGCTCTAAGCCCTGCTCAGTGCTACTGGAAAGGCTTGGCTGCTCCATATACGGCTCTGGGCTGCTCGACCGAACACGCTCGCGGGCTTAGTGCCCCCTTGTCGCGACTTCCGGTGCGTCTATACTCTATTTCGCCTTATGATGTACCGCAGGAAAGGCTACAAGCGCGAGCTCCTTACTCTAGGGCACATCTCGGCGGCAAGAGTTCTTGTAGATTAAGGGCAGCTGCCAACGGTTTGAGCACGCGTTTCTAGCCTTTGCTGCGGAACAACATAAGGGGAAACAGAGTATACACGAACTCACCTCTGTTGCGTCACGGCGCGGTGGTGGCGCGTCGGGCTGTGGGCGGAAGGCCCCATGTGAGACGTGTATTCCTGCGTTGTTTTGAAAGGAACCAGACAAAAACCTGCCTTCTCTTCAAAACGCCGCGACTAGGGCGAAACAAACAGCGGCATCCGAAAGCGTGTGTTTGCGACAGTTGTTTGCAGCAATTTACGGCAGTTCAGGAGATCTTCCTCTAAACGCCTCGGTGAACGCGAAACGACTCGAAGTTAAAAAATAAACGAGCTCAACAAGCATAGCTAGTTGAGCACGCCGCAAACCCCGTTAACCATCTTTGTTATCGTTTGAAACAAAAAGCGGAAAAGGCACTCTCGGGATATTTTTGAAAACAATATTGATTTTGTTTCTCAAAACATTTAAAAAAGTATTATCAATAAAAATACTATTACGGCACAGAGAAACAATTTTACAGTGAACATTTCACACGTCAATCATCTAACCAATAAAACCCAAAAACAGTTTCGTTTTGTCTTTTAAGAAGAAATGTTTTGTTTTGTTGAAATAGAAAATATTGGGTTAACAAAACCAACCTAGGCAACAAACCGCCCCTGAAGTCACAACCGTCTGCAACGTCAGATCTCGCAGCAGTACCCCCGAACCAGGCCCATAAATCCCCCCTCTGAGTAAGCATCGAGTGGGATTAAGCACCAGCACTGCGGAGAATGGCGTTCCGCAAAAGTAATGTCCGTCTGTTTGATCTCGCTGGCTTCGTACGTTTCCTTAAAACCTTCAGAGTTAAAAAAAACAAAAAACACTTCAATAAGACTCAGACGGCTCACCGCAACCACACTGAACTCCCACTGCGTCAGCATGACCTGAAGCAGCGAATGCTAGCCCGACTACTGCCCAAGCTTGTCACCCAATTAGACTAAGACACGAGGAAAGTGCCGTCGTTTCGTAGTCCCCGCCCGGAAAAGCCCGTCCTGTTGGTCTCTTGAAAAGTTGACAACGCTGGCTTCAAGCAGCGCCTAAACGACGGGGCCCCAGGTGGCGGGTTCGAACCCCTGCCGAGGCGCCCGAAATTTGACGGAGGCTTATTGAGAAGAAGGAGGCGTGTAGCCGAGCTTTTGGTTACCCGTCAAAAAATCCCCAGGCGGTCGAAGTTAACTCCCAGTCCTCCGCGTGCCAGATACCCTTCGTTGGTCGGGCACGTCAAAGCCTCAAATTTGTAAGAACTATTAGACCGATCTCGCCAAGCGTTCGGCGCATGCGTGACGCCACCATAACTTTAGTTCACAGGAGGCAGGCGGTGCATGCGAGGGCTCGTGCCGTTTCGTGCTCCACACGGGCAGAGCTCCAGCGGGGCTGTCGCACGTGCAGAAAGATTAAAGTTCCCTCGATGCAACGCGGCAGCGGTGGCGTAGTCAAACTGGCTGGTGAGATCGGTCTATTTTCTGCGGAAGGGTCAACGCGGGCCACAGATTGAACGCGCGTCCCATCCGAACGCAGCACTCGTGTCCGCATGAATGGATGGATGGATGCTTGCGGCTGTACCCTTTATAACGAGCGGTGACTCGCGCCCCCTAGCCTTGTCCGTGCCCGCAATGGCGTCCGGTAGGTTACGTAGAAACTCTGGCACTTTCCTCGTTATTTATAAACTCGAGAGAAAAAAAAAAGCGCAGGACGTGCAAAGTCTCGAGCACCATCGCTCCGCACCCAATGAGATTACAACAGACACGCCGAAGAACGCCGTCAGTGACAGACCTTCGCAGCGCTGATCACCCCCGGGCGAAACAAGCAAACACACAAAAACGACGAATGCCGTGACGATGCATTTTTGGCGCGTACTCGGATCCAATTGGGTGCCTTGTGGCCAAAGAAATGGCGATCATCAATAATGCTCGATGGACTTTTGAAAAGGGTCAATTAGCTCCGTCCGACCGCACGCTGCGGTCAAGCAAAGTGGAGCGTCGTTCGTGCGGGGAAACAAAAGCGTCCATTCGCGGCATACGTACACACGCCGTCCGATCTTCTCGGGGTATACTACCGAGCGGCGCGTGCAAAATGCGTCCGTGCGAACGCCCGACGCACATGGGACACACGCCTGGCCCGCACGAACGCCTCGCCGCCGCCGCCTCGAGATGATCGGTCCTCCGCACCGGAGGGGGGGCAGTCCCGGCTCCCTCCGAGCGGCGGGGTCAGCGCGCGGTGCCTCCGTTTCGGAAGCAGCGCTTTTCATCTCGCGCCGATTCCCACGCTGCCGGTCGTTCGGTCGGAGGTCCGCCGCGGCTGCGTGCGAGTCTCGCCTGCCTGCACGCGCGAACAGGGACCGCTTCCGGGAGCCCTCTCCCCGCCGCGGGGGTCCCCTTCCCGGCGGCTGCGCCCTCTCTGCGGTTGCGTGCGGAGCGCACTTTCGGATATGATCCCGGGCAAATTAATACGGGCGCCCTGATTCTAATTGGGACGCGTGTCGCTGAATTCTCTCTAGCCGCGCTCACACTCATCCGATACGAAAAGCAGTCTGCAGCAGACACAGCGTCTGTGTTCTCCTTCCACTGGTCCTCTGTCTTTTTTTGCGCTGTTTTAATTCCATTTCAACACGAATATAGATATCGGGGGAACGCGCAGGTTCATACGCACTTGTTTGGCGTTGTCACCATTACGGCTAGGTACTCCGCGATGTCTACATTAGGGAGTTTTCGAAGACCGCGCTACCCCCTCCGCTAAGCGTTCCGCAACGAAGAAGTCGCTACTGCGCCTGCGCGCCGGTAGCCTTGTCTGTGGAGTTCCCTCTATCGTAGCGGATTGCGGAGGGCCTTGCGGGACGGCGAAAACGATCTACGAAAACTCCCTATTGTCTCGAAAGAAATACCAACGTGGCGTCGATTGTTCCTAGAGTGTCTCACCCGCCATCCTCTCCTTCCCACTGTAGGAGTGGATGCCTTCACGTTCGACCCGCACAAGTTCGCCATGGACTACCACACGATGGGTTTCCGCGAGTGCGCCAGCGAGGTGGCGCGCTACCTGGTGGCCATCGAGGGCATCGACCTGCAGGACCCGCTGCGGCTACGCCTCATGAGCCACCTGCAGTGCTACACCGCCCAGCGGGAACTGGCCGCCAAGACCGCCACCTCCTGGAGCCCCAACGCGACGCCGTCGTCCCAGTACCCGACCGCCCCGTCCCTGCCCGCCGTGTCGCTCTCGCCGCAGCCGACGTCTCAGCAGGACCACTACGGCGGCAACGGCGAGTCCAGACACGAAGCCAACGGGTTCCGGCAGCATTTTCCGTCTCGACCGCCGCCCATGACGCTGACTCCTCCGACGGCCTCGGCGGGATCCGTGCTATCGGCCACGCACCAGATGCAGGGGAACCAGTACTTCCACAGTGCGGGGTTCTCACCCATGACGCCCACGTCTTCGACGACGCCGTCCTACGGTTCTGACCTCTCGCCGCACTCGGGCGGGGTGAAGCCCTACAGGCCGTGGGGAAGTGAGCTGGCTTACTGACTGCCGTCGATCACGGACGGCGTCGAGGACGTGCCCGTGGACATGGCCTACTCGTGACGATGACGATGCATCGACTCTTCGGGCGTCGGGTGTCTGTGAATATAATGAATTCCGCCGGTTGTGCGTCAGCAATCGAGTGATCCACCGGACCGCTTCCCGGGGTATTGTGTTTGCCCCGTCCCGTGTCAGGAAGGTGCCTGCGCGTGGGCACGAACCCGGTTAAATCGTGCGGAAGCTAGTCTTCAGTCTCGAACGAACTGTATCTGCTCAGTGTGCGAAGATCTCGTCCTCGGATCTTGAGTTCATGGCACATTTTGACGATGTTAAGTTCTTGCCATTGTGATCATTCCGACACGAACTTGACAGTGTATAGGTCAGTCATGGTTACTTGATGCGTTTATGATCCAGATACGAAGTAACTAAAAGAAAAAAAATAATTTTGGTTATTTACGGCTCTGAACTAAGAGGTCTTTGAGGCAAGAGAGACTTTAAAATTTGCTTATTTTCTGGGGGCACTACCGGTTTCTCTGCCGTCCATGACCACCAATTTACCAAAGGAAAAGTGCGCAAGCGTTGTGATACATTAGGTTGACGGGTAAAAGCGTCGACAAGTTTGCCAACCCTCTCATACAAGACGCGTCAACCGCTGAGCCGAGCTAGTCATACATATCGGTGCCAGTGGATCTTTGCCATCGTAATCGGTGCTCTAACGCCGGATAACTTGAGCATTGAGTCGGTGTCGCACCGCTGACACATGATGCAAAAGACAGTTTGCACACACTGTCTGGGGTCTTGCTTGTATGACGGTCACAATGCTCATATAAGAACTGCCTGTAAACATGTTTGAAGCAGACATATGTGTGAAACAAACATGCTTGGAAAATGCTCGAGCCGCCTACGCAGATAATTGGTATCACTTTTGCATCTAACATGCTGTGTTCTGTACGACGTGTGAACAGTGTGACAAAGGCGTTTGTGTTGTGCTTACAGCTTCGTTGTGCATTAGGACCTGTAGAAGTTCTACGTCTGCGGGGATCGAAATTCAATTCGAGCGTGATTCTACGAACCGATCGTAGAACGACTTTAATTCGTTCTTTGCGTTTTAGTTAATCACTTTAGAGCATATGCAACGTAATGGCTAACGGTTGTAATGAGTAATAAAAATAGAATCGAGTCAAGTAATCTATGCAACGCCCCCTTGCAAATCGCGTACAAGTTATTGTTGTGTAAATATATCAAAAGAAACGTGACAATCATATATTGACCAGATATTTCCTGCCGATTGTTTTCAACCTTGAAGCGAATAAGTGTGTACCAAATATTTATAAATGTGATACCTATAAAAAGATAGACCACAACGCTTTAGCTCTAAGCGCTTCGTTGACATCGTGTCATGGACAGTGTCAGCACTTTTAAAGAAAAAAGAAGCTATATTATGGAACCAATTTTTACAAAACGTTTTGTGCAAAGTAGTTTTTCTAGCGCTAGCGCGACTTTATATATAAATACCCTTAATAAATTATTTTGAGTACAGAACTATACGATGCATTTTTCGATAACGAATACCCTGCGTACTTGGCGTCACCAAACCAAAACTGCCGAAGTTAGTCTCGAGCGCAGGGTTAAAGCAAACTGAGATATTTACAGCTCTTCGACGCCTCCAATGAGCTTGAGACTGCGCCCGCCAAAGTTGTTATTTTCTACAGGGAACACCATTTTATGTATCACGTGCATTCACTGTGTGCAGTTTGTAAATAGAAAAAAGGAGAAAACAAACAAAAAAAAAACGCCACAAACGAAAAGTTATACACGATGAATAAAGGCATCTAGTCTTCTACGAATCCAACGTGTCGATGTGTATATGTGCCGACTGAAAAACTTTTTGTGAACTGCAACTCGATTTGTCGCGGCCTTTTGGAAAGTTCTTCCTGAAAGCTCTATTCAGGGTGCGAATGAACGTGTACACCTTTTCCGCAAGGGCGCAGCCATCTTGAATCTCGTCACTTCCGGTGTTCGGTAAAACATCGTTTTGATCTCTCCACGCCGCTGGACGGTGTTTACGAAAAATGGGCGATTGTCACAGATTCTTGCTTTGCCCCACCTATATTTTCTCGCATATTCTAGGTTGAAATGTTTTTTTTTTTTTCTTGCATACCAGATGCGGAGCCCACGTGACTGAGAACAACAGGAAAAAGAAAGCGTGTTGCGTTATGTTACGGAAGCTTTACGTCTGCTTACGTGGCGAATTACCGGGCATTCGAAGCGTGGCATTCGAAGCATGGATGTACTGGTGACTCTTAACTATAGCCTTCTACATACTGACAAAACCTGGCAGATAGCCACGAGGAGCGGCCGCCGAAATGGAAAAGGTGGAGCGGCAGACGACGGATGAGAGGAGAGCCACGTGACTGGCGCCCCGCTGCTGCGAGACGCCGAAACACACTTCTCCCGAGCGAACAAGTGTGTTTCGGGTCCTCGCCGCTGCAAAAGCTGTGCGCTGACGTTCATGTTCCCCAAGAAATGGCTCTTTGATGCTCCGTGCTACCAGATCCTCGCGCTCCAAATTTGCGACCGGGCATTCTATGGCTCCGTCGACGAACTGCCGGGCTTTGTGAGTATAGAGGGGGCTATGACATGGGTATCTACTCGTTACTCTAATCACTGAGAGCTTAAGAAACGCAGGGCCTGCCTTGTTATTTTCACGCTTTGTGATTTGTTGTTGCGCGTTGGTAACGGCTGAAAGCGACATCTGATTGGCTGCGGTACCAGATGACTCGACACACCCTGCGCGTCTTGAGCTCTCGGCGACTCGCAGACCGCTCCAGCGCTTATCACCCAGGTGGAAAATGCTGAGTCACTGGTCCGAGGACCGGCATGTGCGGCGTGTCCTACTTCTCAAAAGGGAGCAACAGCGCATGCTCAGAACGCCTTCACAGCCCGGTAGACAAAGATGGCAGCCCCTAGGAGGCGATGATTGGAAAGGACCGATCAGGTTAACGCTGCCATGTCCTTGAAATGCGACTGGCACGAATGGGTTCGTAGCGTTTCCCAATGCGGAGAGCAAGTCGTCTTGTTCTTGCGCAGGAGTTGTGGTGACGTCAGGACGACGCCGAGCTCTGATTTGCTTTGATTGAGAGGATAGTGGGTACACCTGTATGCTAGATGCCTTGAAGTCTACCTATTATTATTTTTTCAATCAGCCAATGAGAGCTCGGCGTTCTGACATCATCGCAACCCCTGTACAAGAAGCAGACGAACTTGGACTCCGCATAGTGTTTGGCCAACACCACCTAGACAGAAGGCCTCCGCATGGTTTCCTCTTCCTCTATGAAACGTCATCACAGTCGGATCGCGTTCGGTCGGCTATTGGACCCGAGCCCGACCTTCGACGCGCTGATTGGCCACGAGCCGCAGCCGAACACTGACGCAGCACTCGTGCCCAATCTCTCGCCTCGATCGATCTGACTATGATGACGCGTGTGGAGGCCTTCTGTCTAGGTGGTGTTGGTTTGGCTCAACTAAAATTCCGTTTTTTTTTTTTTTTTTTTTTTTTTGTTTTTGGTGGCACGGGCATTCAGATACACTTAGATTGCCAGGTCCGGGAAATGCGAAAACAAGCATGAAGAACGTACATGTTGTAACTTTTTTTGTTGTTGTTTTTGTTTGTTGTCTGGGGATCGCTGACCCGAGTTGGGCTAGCGCGCACCGGCTCGGAGCACGTGGAGCGAAAGCTCGCGCTGCGGAACCCGAGGATCGTGGGTTCAGTCCCCACCCCTGCCCGTTTCGATCTGGATGAGTATCGTACCGGCGTGCGGTCGTGCATCACTACTCCGTGGTGCACGTAAAGACTCCAGGCTAGCGGTTGTACTGCACTGGCTAAATTTCTCATCTACAGCTGAGACACCAGACGCCCATTGAGACAGTCTAACTCCCGGCTGTATGAACATACACACAACACAACTGAGTTTGTTGTTGTAGAAACGTACCTAACAAACAAATGCCAAAACTACCCCCCGCCCCTCTTTCTTTTTTTCTCAACAAGAAAAAACAAATTATCTCGGTTATCTTTCCTCCTAAGCATACTCTGACTGATATAAATCAGTTTTCTGACCCGCTTTTCGAAATGCCCGAGCATTCCAACCGCGTTCAATTATCGCTGCTTGCACCGACGTGCCCGATTCGCGACAGGCAATTTGGCGAGTAATTATCCATCGAGACACCTAAACATAACTCCGAGAGTGCCCTGCGTCTCATTTTCATACGAAACAACGCGGTAAACGAAAGAACAAAAACAAAAAAAGAAAATAGGATGGCAAAGCAGCGTTCGTTCGCTTACGGGGACGTGGGACGGTCGCACAGAAGCCAGGCGGTTCCGAGTAGCGCACGCGCTGCGTCTGTTCCCGCGGGGCATAATGACCTGGACGGGTCGGCTTTCCCACCGGACGACGACAAAGGAAGATGATAAAGGAGAAGGGGCCTTTGTTGCTCGGCCGCGACGACGCCCCCCGAGGAACGCTGCAATGCGGCGGCACCGCACGCTGCTGCCGAGAAACCATGGGCGGGCAAACATCGAGGGGCCGAACGCGGGAACGAGCACTCGAAGAAATCGGGAGCGTCGACTTTCCCTGCAAAGCACTTGCGAGAGCCAATCGCTGCAATCTACGGAGGCAGCTTGGCCAATAACGAGGCTGTGCGTATCTTTCGATGTAAAGAAACAACCTGCGCCTTACACTCTAAAAAAAGCCCGTGAGTCTGCTTTCCCGCACAACACTCGGAGAGCCAATCACCGCAACTTACGGAGGCAGCTCAACCAATCACGATGCCGAAACATATGTTTAGACCAAAAAACGCAGTCTGAGTTGTGACATTAAGCAACGCAACCGTGACGTTTTACATTGCTTAATGTCACAACTCAGACTGCGTTTGTTGGTCTAAACCAGGGTGTCGAACCGGAACCGAACCGAACCGAAAACCGGAACAGAACCGTTATTTTTAGCCGAACCGGAACTGAACCGAACCGAAATCTTCACCGCCATCTTGCAACTGAACCGGAACCGAACCGAAAAAAAAATATAACGGTAACAGTTCAAAACGGTTCAAGGTAATTTTTTTTTCTTTGTTTTTTAGTATCACAAAATGAACATATGGGAATAAAAAACTGGCGGCTGTACTTCTACCGTTCAAATCGTCATATACAGAATTGCAATGTATGGTAAATTGTGGGTTTTCGTGGCGCTTTTGTATTGGCACTATGATTAACCATGTGTCACGTCACGTGACGGCATGGTGTCAATACATGTTGTCAAGTAATGTCACGTGACCTCGTGACGTCACGTGACTCACTGCGTCAACTCGATTTAGTTTGAGGAAGTCGCTAGATGTATTTACCTTGTTGACGGCATGACGTAACATGATATCATGATTTTGTACCGAGTGTCAAGTGACACCGCGGCGTAAATGATTTTCACAACCTTTAGTCGAGTGCTCGGGTTCATGACAATCAGCATCGCCAAATATTCAGATAACGGCTCATGTCAATTAAATATGATAATAGCCCAACTCTAACAATATCTGAAGCTCCCAGCCAAAGCTTTTGCTTTCCAAACCCTAGCCGCCTAGGGCATGACCATGATGAACACTGACGGCATAAATTTAGCGTCAGATCACGTGGCCGTTTGTTCAAATGGCGAGTTGAGGAGGGGATCGACAGCCGTCTCTTTCTTTTATTTTTTCTGCATCTGCTATTGCGAGGCGGGGGAAACTAATGGATGCGTTCGCAAGCTATCGGGCGTCAGGGGTTACTTCTTAACAGTATTTATTGGAAGTACAAAAAAAAATGTTTCCAGACAAATTGTACATCATTGAGGCACCCAAAAATGTTTTCGTTGTTGCTAAACTGCATCCGAAAGATGTCCCCGAGAATAGAAGTATTGAAATGACTAAATGCGACCTATTAATATGACGTACATAGAACTACACGTGTGTACGGAAAGAATACCTAAAAAAAAAAAAAAAGATTTTAATGACCTCAGAGGGGCAGCCGAACGTTGGCAGTCGCTGTAAGTCTCACACAAGCGTCGTTTTCAAGTTATTGCCCAAGTTTCGATCACCTCTGTATTTTGCTTAAAAGAGCTATAAAAAGATTTCCATGCATCACTAAACACTACTCAGGATCACTCCCTAACGTTAATAACTAATTGAACTTGGCTTTGTTCTTTTTTCTAGGCAATGGCAGTCGCCAAAAAATTCGAGAAATATGTGCATCGTTCATCCCCTCAACTCGGAGCCAGAAGCGGCCATGTGGCCTGGTGCCTATCCTATGCCGCCAATTAACGTTAAAAGAGTTCGGCTATTCTCATCACCGCAGTGGTTGGACACGAGCCACATTAAGTGTCCGCAGAGGCATTGATTGTTACGAGTCAATGTCCAGTGCTCAAGTAGTTCTTCTGTCCAATCCATGAGGCGCGCTCGACTGTCGTTAGGCGGGTGGTTTTGATCCCACAATTACGACATCAATCTTTGCGAAGGCAAGACTAAAAGAAATAGTCTCATTTTATCTTCGCAATTTAACCGCGACAAAGAACATTCCAACCCGAGATCGTTTTAGGACCCCTTTAAACTTCACGGGGTGCAAAATAAAAGCAATGAAGGGTTGCTGTCAATATGTGACAAATAAAATCGTCGAATTAGCACACACAAACGGAGGAGGCAATTCCTCAGGAATATGTTCAGCCTTTCCACTTTGGTGCAGAAGGAAGACCAGCGAAGCTGTACTATGGTGGGAATGAAGTAATGGCCGGCCACAAGTCGGCAAGCCAGGGTGGAAAGGCTGGAGAGGTTG